GTTGGCATCTCATATACATTCCACATACGAAGCAGATACGTAATGATACAGTAACCCTTGTACACATAGTCCACTATTTGGGTAACACTATTTGGGTAATATGGGCCACGATGCAGCCTAGACTTATGCCAGTAAGGCTGATAGGCATTCGTCTGCTCGAAAGTCCCGCAGAAAAGCGATCCACGAGTCCCACTGCAAAATACCATATCTGACTTGTTCTATCGCTTGACCCAGGCGGGCATCTTTCTCGCCTTGACATGACCAGGCTTCTTCCTTTCGACTACCCTCGGATCACGAGTGAGACAACCGGCTTGATAGATCATGTTAGAAAGGCACCAGACCGAAATTTGTATAGATTTTGTTTTGACTTACCTTTTTTAAGGGGTGTTTTCAATGCCGGCTCGTGAACGGCCAAGGCCTTAGAAACAGCCATTGCAAGCGCTTCGGCCTGTCCAGTAGTTCCACCACCCTCTACAAGAGCCCAGACGTTGTACTTGTCCATTCTGTCCATTACCTTTAGTCCCCAGAGTGCGCTTTCCCGGTCGTGGACTCTTCCGAATGCATCATTAAGGGTCTTTCCGTTAACAAGGACTTCTCCTGTTCCCTGCACAAGCCACGCTCGCGCAACTGAAGATTTCCGCCTCCCAACACCATGCGACCTGCCAAACCTATCGATCGGAATTACTTTTGCTCGGTTGAGATAGAAGTTGATGTCTCGTTTGAACGGTCGGAGACCCTGCTGGACCTCCTCCGGCATTAAATCGGGGTGAATTTGATTTAACCTCTTGGCCAACCCAATACAGGCTGCGTAATCTCTTGCTTTCACTGCTTCACCAACTGCCAAACGGTATTGCTCCTTTGTCTTCCATGCCACCCGTGGCGCTTGGCCAGGAGGGAGAAAAGGAAGCCGCCCGTATTTCCGCGAGAGGTCCTGAATTAGGACGAAACTATCGTTGAATTGCGTATGTCGCGAGAAGTAGGAAGGTGAAAGCGGCATAGGACGAACATGCGCTACATCTATTTCGGCTGCATCAGGGCTTCGTGCAATAGCCGCCTCTAATCGACTAAATGCATCGTCTTGGCGAGCCGTAGTCGTCGTTGTGAATGTTCGGTGTGTTTCCGAGCTCATACAAGCGTTTATAGATGCCGAGAGACTCGGCTGTCGGGTCGCTGTCGCCCGGAGATCTCTAAGACAGCGAAGGCCATATCTTAGAGAGGACATTGTACCTATCGTATCCTCGTCATGACCTTACGCCTACTAAATCGATCGATCGATAGGCCGGAATGTTGGGCGTGTTATAGGTGCGATACGCTGTATGTTGATGGAGACTTGGTTGCATCAATTGAAGCACTTTTTCAAATGCAATGACCGAATTCAATTGGACTGGACGGTGTATTAGATATTCCGATTACCGACCATTTGATAGCGTGCAGGTGAGAAGGCGGGGTTCGAAGGTGCAATTCAAATTGTTTCGACCAAACACTAAAGTGGGGTGTTAGTGCCTGATGGAAATTTGAATTAAGCCAGAGCAAAATTGCCCCGCCTCCTACTTTTGCCAGAGTAGAAAAAAAAATCTGTGACTCCCAAGTTACCTAACTTTCAACTTTCCCTCTTCTCATCTTCTACTCGACAAGCACCAGATCCCAAAATCACCATGGCGCCATTCGGAAAGATCTTTACCAAGGAGGTACGTAGCAATAACTAAAACTGTCTTTTCTTATTCTTCTGCGTAAATGCTGACATTTATCCGTCACGCAGCTCAACCCCCGCTCTACCGCGATCCTCGCGGTTGCGAAGGCCAACGGGTTGGACCTGGATATCGTTGAGGCCGACACGGTCAACCCGTCTCCTGAGTTCCTCAAGGCGAACCCCCTCGCCAAGATCCCTACCTTCGTTGGCAGCGATGGCTACACCTTGACTGAGTGTATGGCCATTGCCATCTACAGTATGTACTTGATACTTCCTAGATTGAATTCGTATTTCCAACACCTCTACCGACGGCATCAAATGATGACCTAGACATTATTCTAACAGTTATCCCTATCTGAAAATCTCTGTTGATCATGGTTCTACTTTCTGACATTGCCTTTTCATTATTGCTTATTCACGCTTAAAATGATGTGGGAGTTTACTAATTTCTCATTGCTCAGTCACTTCTCAGAACGAGAAGACTACCCTCCTTGGCAAGACTAAGCAAGAGTAAGTCATAATCCAATAGTAATACTTATAGAATCACGCACTGACATCGTATAGCTATGCTTCCATTCTGAAGTGGACGTCATACTTCAACACCGAGGTCCTTCCTAAGCTCGCTGGTTGGTACCGCCCTCTTTTGGGCTTCGAGCCCTACAACAAGAAGGGTGTTGAAGATGCCGCCAAGAACTCGGAGAAGGTCATCTCCGTTGTCGAAGAGCACCTTCTACACAATACCTACCTTGTTGGTGAGCGCATCACCCTTGCTGATCTGTTTGCTGCTGGTATCATCTCGCGCGGCTTCCAGTTCTTTTTCGACAAGAAGTGGCGTTCTGAGCACCCCAACGTTGCTCGATGGTATGAGACTGTCTACAACCAGCCCATCTACGCCGATGTCTCTAAGCCTCTTGAGCTTCTTGACGCCCCCAAGTTAACCAATGTCGCTCCCAAGAAGACCGAGCAGGCCAAGCCCAAGGCTCCCAAGGCTGCCCCAAAACCCGCAGAGGAAGAGGAGCCTGCGCCTGCTCCCAAGCCTAAGCACCCTCTTGAGGCGCTTCCGCGATCAGAGTTCGCTCTTGACGACTTCAAGCGCTTCTACTCGAACAATGACGAGGACGTTTCCCTGAAGTGGTTCTGGGAGAACGTTCCTTTCACCGACTACTCCATCTGGAAGGTAAAGTACAAGTACAACGATGAGTTGACTTTGACTTTCATGTCCAACAACTTGATTGGTGGATTCAACACCCGTCTTGAGGGCTCTCGCAAGTACCTCTTCGGCTGTGCTTCCGTGTACGGCGAGGACAACGACTCGGTCATCGAAGGCGCCTTTGTCATCCGAGGTGATGAATATCTCCCTGTCTTTGACGTCGCTCCCGACTACGAGAGCTACGAGTTCACCAAGCTGGACCCCACCAACCCTGAGGACAAGGCCTTTGTCGAATCCATGTGGACATGGAACAAGCCTGTCATCCACAACGACAAGGAGTACAAGCACGCTACCGGCAAGGTCTTCAAATAAGCTAATGTTACATTGTTATGAGGATGGATGGTTATGAGCTAACGAGTTTATGCAAAAGGGGGCCGGGTTAAGGTTAGGGACAATGAATACCAAACCCGAAGAGGTTAAGCTTATAAGTAGCAACAGGTTTCTATGTAGTACCTGAAATATGCTAGTCGTCAAACCATTCTATGTCTTTAGAAGTGTCGTGCATGTCCTAAGTTTTATAAAGCGGGGAAACCAAACGCTTTATTTTAGTAACTGGACAAAGGAATTCGGCTAGCTAATATATCCGCAAGAAAGAGATGCACATTTATTGAAAGAGCCTTTATAGCTTATCTGGTAAGTTGCCTATACTATGACTACTATATAACTTCAGGTCAGTTCACTTTGCCTAGACTATTTATTTGCAACCTACAACATCTGAATCAAATTCTCTAAAATCTTACAACCTACACTTTATTAGTTTACATTATCACGATTAAAGATTCTATAATTATGAAGGGCGCTCCAAGAACTCATCACACCCGAAACCGGGATGAAGTCGGCCTCATCCTCACTAGCCCCGACAGTCAACCTACATTGTGCTCTGTCATGTAACATGACAACCTTTTATAAGGACAAGTAAAATAGAGTCGGAACTTAGCAGAATAAAAGGGGGGGATTAAGTACTGAGAAGTAAGTACGAGTAATGATGGAAGGGGAGGGCTATGTAGTTAGGACCGGCCTACGGGGGAATGACTCTTGATGGGTTGGTTAGGGTATCGTTTAATGAGTAGTGAATTTACGTTTTTCGTATTATGTCGTATATAATTACTTTTTGAGTATAATTGATTATACGAGTGATACGGGGGATTTGTATGGAAGCTTGCGAGTTATTTATTCATGTGCTTTACGTATCTTCCCCTTTGCCATTGTGTTACCTAGCTTTCATGGTGTGATATAGTTATATAAAACGACAAAACTAAGACGTGAATGGTTCGTATACTATTGTACGGATATCATATTTCAGACTTTACTCTCTCTCGGCCATGGATGGGTCAAACTACATTAGTATTATAAGCAAGCTTAACTTCTAACACGACGAGCCTTTGGTCCTTTCGCTTCTTTCACTCTATTCCGGCTACAATCTACCTAACCTAGGTAGCGAATGATACATAGGGGTTGGAAACTTCAGGCCCTCATACGGCGTTCTCGTTATCTCGCCTAAGGCCCGTATGCCGGGAGCCAAGAGCGTCAATATATGCCCCAATAGTAACTACCACTTCCACGTACGACCATAGGATCTGGAAAATTCGGGATCCCGTCCGCTCTCCCCTAGTACCGCCAGACTAGTAGTAGTTGGGTAGGTGACGACCAGCGAATCCCCGGTGTTGTACGTTTTTTCTTCTTTTTTGCCCTCCGATTTTTGCCTTCTCTCCCCTCCCCCCCCGTAATATTCTCCTTATTTTTACATTTTTCCCCTTTTCTCTAACTAGCATATTTATCTTAGCTTTACCGCTTTCTTGAATTTTTGATTTGGCGTTGGTATTGATGTTGCGCTTCTAGAGAGTCGTGTTAAGGGATAAGTGGGTTAGGGGTAGATTCAGGGGTAGATTGACTAGGATTGAGTATATAAGAGGTACACAGTGCCCTTGGGAGAGGATAAAAGGCTAGGTGTCAATAGTACAATTCAACTATCCTGATATTTACTATATGTAAGACACTAATCAAGGGTTCTCTCTGATAAGCTGGCCTTGTTAGCCCCTATTTCACTACGTTACACTTGGCTGCTTTACTTAGGGCTACTCCGGCGCTTATTGGAGTATTATCAGATAACTTATTATATTTTAAGAGTATAAATCTCCGTAACGTAGCTATTTATCTCACAGGATGCCAAAGAGCCATGAATCATCGCCCGTGTTTCTCTACTAACCCTTAACCACTATGCTTGTACGGGGTATTTTAATACCTCACCATTGGCCTCTTTAACGTATTAAGGAAGCTTTGATCAAGAATAATATAACTACCAGCTATCAACTAACACAAACCGGCTCTATGAACCCCTCCAGATTTCCTATGTAGGAACTGATCGAGATCACTGAAGGATTCTACTTCTATAATAGCTTTCATCCATATCGAGTGGCAACCCTGGAAAAATAACTTGCGCAGGTATATTATAGAACTATACTGAAGACATAGCCTTTAAATATACCAACTTTGCGGCGGAAGGTTAAATATAGATTACCCGTCGGCATATCCGTCATAGCCCTCTGGGTCGGGGCGCGCTAAGATACCTTCTACCCATACACTACTTCTCGACTTCAACGCTAACGAGCTGTCGTCTACCTCGCATATGAGATCGCTAAAAACCTCGCGTTCGACATGAACTTCCACAGACTGAATGTTTGTGATATCCATACGGATCATAGTAGTAGGAAGATGTTCTTGCTTATGTCGCTTATAGTAGTACACCGATGTGCCCTCGAAGGAAAACTCCACAAAAAACAACCGGATAGCACTACTGGGCGAACCTATATATCTCACTGGCCATACATAGTCGACTGACTCCCTCACGATATCGATGCCCCTTTCTTCCGCAAGTGTGGGTCGTGGGTATGGGTTGGTATCAGGGAATTCTGGCCAACTCGGTAAGAACCCAGGAGAGACTATGAGGAAGAGATATTGTAAATTAATAAGCTTATCTTTGATGTAGTGGACGGTTTGTATCCACTGGCTAAAATCGGGATAGTACATGTGAATCTCTAGTGATCGGAGATTGTGTAGTGCGTAGCTAGAGATGAAACTGGTAAAATATTCGACTGTTGCCTTTTCAAATTCGGGGAATATAGAGTAATCGTAATTGATAGTGATATGATTCATAGAGAAGAATACATTCTGTGCTGCTGCATAAAATTCCTTGCTGACTAGGAACAATGGTATCGGAGGCTGCCAACAACGGCAACGTGGTGAATAAGAGGCATGTCGTACACTGCAAAAGCAACCTGTAATGCAAGCATATTTGCCCTCCAATTTTCTCCCACAAGTTTGGAACTGGCAGGCATAATGGGTACAGTTGCTACACCTCCGATGCGGGCATGATACTCGGCACTGATCTCTATCACCAGTGCATGCTCTGTGAGCATTAGGGTGGCATGTATGAAACGGAGGCTCGTGCGGTTCTTCACAAGAATAAGTTTCGAGATGGTACTTATCAGATGAGATCCATTGAACATGGCTTAAAGGCGTAACTAGATCGGTATACTTTAATATCTCTAGCTGAATCTCCAGTGGAAGTCGTAGAAAAGGAAAGCTCTCGGGTGGCTGCTCGACTGGCTGCTGTCCTAGGGCGTCTAGGGCAGCCTTTCGGGCTATATCTTGAAGTTGGCTATCTGGCTTATGGCTGAGTCGGATCTCGCAGCTGGACAAGGTAGGCAAGTAACGAAGGGGTTTCACAGCAAGACATGCTGTCTCTTCATCAGCCACGTCGCAAATCAGGCCGAGCTTGAAGTTTTGAGGTTTTATTTGCGAACTGATAAATCGTACCGCATTTTCCCATCTTTCAAGTAGAGAACGGTGATCGGGGATGGTGCTGACTATTGGTTTGATATTGCTGAGACTTTTTGAATACCCGCCGCAACAATCCCTGGGGTAGATAGCGTTCGGGGAGAACTTTAAAGATGACAGAGACGATATGAAAGAGGTAGGAAGCTGATATAAGGACTGCGGATCTTTTATGCAGAAATAATTGGTGGAGAACAGTAGATGAGATACCTCTTTGTAGATAGCTCGACAGGTGATAAGTAGGTTGAGAGAAAACGTAAGGTCAGGTACGTCTTCGTAGTCCTTTGGTCTCATACGTAGACGAATTCCCCTACGTTCTTCGTGGCTCATGTGGATATTAGTGTTGGTGACTAGGCCAGCTGCGCAGTAAATTCGACGTCGAATGGTGGCAGGGATATCTAGAAATGATCGCGGTGTAGCTTGTTCCATTTTGATACGCGTAGAAAGCAGAGGAGGAGGTCGTGTTGAATGGATGGTAAATAAGATGAGGTAAGATGAGGTGAGATGAGTTATGAGTGTTGTACAAAGTATTGTATTGAAGTAGAGTTGAGAGTTTTCTTCTTACGTCAGGTGTAGTTGACGTAGTTGACGTAGTTGCCGAATTTGTGGGTGTTGGTTACCAAAAACTTAAGGTACCTTGTTTGTTCCTTCCAACTATAGCACGTGTCGTTGAAAAGCGGCACGACTGCCTTTTCTAACTCTATTGGTAATAAGCTGCTTATAGTTTCCTTTCGGCCCCATGAGTCAAATTGAAAGATCGTCAAATCTTTAGTATGTCGAAAATCTGTTGGAGTGACAAGGGTTCTCTACAGATTACGTAATGAAAAGGAATAACAAAATCCTAGGTTAACAGAATCCTTTGTTGGTAAGCTCATCTTCAGCCTCAACCGTAAGTTATACATGATCTTCTAGCCACAATCACTATATGGGAGTTTATTGGTTTAAGTGATATTATAATTACATGATCTACCATGATCTACGACTGCCTTGACTTTTATTAAATACGAAATATCTTCTAACCGTTACATTAATACTAAAAATATATCCAACGACTGCTGTATTGTGCAATGCCGCGTGGTACCTAATTGCTTTAAATAGGTTATACTTATAACTAACAACGACTATTGATAATTTTGTTGCTAACATGCCGTACCTCGTGTCAAAAGGATTAGGCTAACGGAGTGTTGAATATCCATCCAACAATAGTTTATGTGTGTAACTAGGGAGTTTGTATAAGATATATAACTCGTGGAAGAACTCGGTAGAATGAGAGAAGACAGAGTTCTGCATCCTGATCGACCTCCTATATCTATATCTAAGTTATATAATTGTTTGACAGTTCTTATCATGTATATTATTGCCTCTTTGATCAACATCTGCTGGTTCGCCAGCGTGACCAGGGCTGTATCTCGTTATATGCCCCCAGCTGATGGACAGCGTGCAATGGAATTATTTACAACTGACCGTGGTTATTCTGGCACCTCTGATGGAAAGACATGGCACGCCTCGTACAAAGAGGAAGGATTCGACGAGATGAATATGGAAATATTGCACAGAATAGCCAGCGCGCACTTCAATTGGCTATTGGCCCAGCAAGGGCAATATAGAATCACCAATCAACTTGGTGGTTGCCTTATATCCGCCTTATGGACACCTGATACCAATTCGGTTTATGTATCGACTAAGGCAAGAGGTCCGTATTGGGGGGCAATGCTTAATAATAAAGAAACAGCCCCAGTTTGGCGTGCCCGGACCGAAAACTGGAAGAAGAATGGAAAAAGGGATTTTCATGTCGAAGACGCTACCTACCATTGGTTCGAAGAAGTTAGGAAGAGCGCTGGCGATCCTATCTGGCCTCTTCTGCGCAGCAGTACAGCAGCAGAGACGAAATACCCCGAAGGGTCTATGATAGCTACCTGGGGCTTTCACGGTCAAGAGGCTCAAGATAATCCGGCTATAAAGAATACCGGACGTCCAATAAGTCTGTGCAGCATCAGGGACCAGAGAGGGGTGACCTGTCAACAGATGGCGGACGATCTCGGCGTAAAATACGAGGCAGTTACCAATCAACCACCAGCAGAGCAGGCTATAGACAGTAGTCCTCCCGACGGGGACGAAATTTCCAATGATCCATGTGGTAGCAATGCTGCCAAAAGAGATAATAGTGGTTTTCTTCCTAGATATAGGAAGAGAGATGCAGCAAGTGAATGCTCCATTAGCGAAAATATACCCACATCACTTGTTATATCTACCGTCACAGGTTTACCCTCGCCAGCAAGCTCTTACGATAAAGGTCCGTCTACAAGCTCTCGTCCCATGACGACACCCCCGCCGCCACCAAAGCCGTCATGTGTTATGCAGGATATGGACCCTGGTCTAGGAATAACTGCTCCAGGATGTATCTGCGAAGGCTCAACAACGCTTCCGCTACTTACCCTTCCGTCGGTATCTGTGTATACCCAGAGTTGTGACTACACTGCTCTACCAACCAAGACCTTGCCAAACCCCATCAGCATCACGACCCAGACGTGGACTGTTGGTTGCCAAGCATGTACTGGCGTTGGCGGGGCTGAGGTTCCCGCCGCTGCTACCTGTACTTCAGTTCCGTCCTGTACAGTTACTCCTTTAGCTCAGTCATTCGGTGTCCTTTTATCCAACACGTCTGTCCCCGTCGGCGATGCGGACGATAAGAACGGAGGCAAGGACCTCAGACAGAATCTTTACAGCCAGCTTCACCCATTGTGTCCCGATAACTCAAACATATGCGACTATACCAAGGGCGCCGAAATCAAGAACATGGGAACTGTGGTATCCGACGGAGATGCTTATCTGACACTCCAAGCCAAGATCATAGGAAGCCAATAGTGAGTTGACCCCAGTCATCGCTACTTTCATGTATCGCTAATAACTTGCTCCATCAAATAGCAATAGCACAGACACCCGAGAACGCCTACTCGCTGCGGCCGTAGCTAGTTGGGAACGAGCTGCTTCGCAATCCTGTAAAGAAGTCGAGTATAAGTCTGACGCGGATCCCACCGAGTCAGGCTGCGGAAGCGGGCCGATTCTCGACGGACGAAGCCCCTTTCTATCAGAAGACGAAGGCAAGTCTCTAGATAGACGCATTCTAGACGGTCCACCACCCGAAACGGTTTGCAGCTATAGAGGACGCCTCTGCGCAGGGCCGGAAGTTGTTAGTAAGTATTAGCCCCAAGCGGTGAAAACTCACTCCCCGTCACCCCTCCTATATCCTACGGGGAGTATGCGAATTTGGCACGCTAACCTCCATCAACAGCTGCTATAATGGGCACCTCCGAGAATCCATACATGAACCACATGCAAATCAAGTTCGAGCTCGTCTCCGACAATAAGGACTCGGCTTTTGCAGAGTTTGTATGCCACCTGGTTATCGACGCTATCTCGGACCTGAGTATGGCTGTGATGCCGGAGCTGGCGCCGGCAGAGCTTTTCGAACAACTGGAGCTGGAGTCGTTGTGTGAGTGAGAGAGGATTGGTGGATAGAAGGTTGGATTTGAGTTGGAATATGTTTGAGATCTGTTAGATATGTTTTTCAATGATATTTCTTTGTTTTGCATTATTTAGAACGTGATAATTATACTCATTCTGTCGGGGTATAAGTGAGCTAAGGGCAGATCTACTAGGTCTGGGTAGAAAGGCAGGTGTTAATAGTTTAATACTACTATCCTAATATCCACTTTATATATGATACAAATCAAGGGTCTTCCTCTCTGACACATTCACGACTACACGACAAATTAAGGTCTACCTGCTCAAGCTAAGAATGTTATGAGTACGAAAGTTGTAGAAGGTGTACCTGACCACTTATATAAATGTACCCGTTTTTGTAGAGGGTCCTCGGAAAACAAGATGTCGTGAAACGGTCTATTGGTGGCTAGCTAGCTAGTTGTTGACGTGAAAAGAAAACTCAGTCAAGACTGTTAATCCTGGTATTTGGGATACATAGCATCACCCGCTCTCATCATCCGGCTAACCGACCGTAGCTTGGTTTCTTCTTCCTTGGGAGCATCGTCTCAAGCACTAGGTTGCGATAACAAGGTCTTCAACTCTTCAGCAGCCTTCTGTATGCTCGGGGTATGCTCTGCTTCCCAAGCCTTCACGGTCTCATCTCCCAGTTTCCCTGTGCCTATGATGCCGAATAAGTCTGGCTTAGCAAAAGCTAGTTGAGGCCGCGTTTCGACAACTTTGAGGCCCATGTTGGTAAGAACACCCTTAGCCTGCTCACTGGCGTTGACGCCACCTCCACCACCGTAGCTGACGATGGCAACCGGCTTTCCCTTCCACTCGTGGAGTAAGTAGTCGATGGCATTCTTGGTGCCTCCAGCCATCGAGTAGTTGTACTCGGGGATGACGAGGACATAGCCATCGTACTTGATTATCTCAGCGCTCCAGGCCTTGGAATGCTCATATTCGAAAGAGGCCTGCTCGGGCACCACTGCCAGTAGTGTTAGGTCGAGTTCCCAAAAGAGGTTATAAGCCATTCCTGTATATTCTTCGAGGCTGCATGGCAATGTAATAAGGAGAGCAGGGAAAATGCTACATGTAAGAGCCTAGGTACTTACTGATGGGAGCTACTTTTTCGTTATAGACGGGGAGGTTAAACTTGACGACGTCTACATCGGTAACGGATATGCCGTCCGCTGCTAGAGGCTTCTCGATAATATTCCGGACGAAACTGGCTACATTGGGTCCGACCCGGGTACCCCGGGTGCTCATCGTAATAACAGCGACTGATTTCGGAGCCATCTTGAGTTTATTTTTGACGTCAGGCCGAGAGAGAAGGGGGGAAGAGGAAGAGGAAGAGGGAGAGATGTCTACGGAAAAAAGTAAGATCTAGAAGGAGGATGGGCGTGGTGTTTTAAATACGATATCTTTCACCCTAGGGCATGCACGTCTCAAGGTTCTATCCGGCTTCGGGTCCTTTAACTATTGTTGAGCTATGGTCCCTTATATATATATAAGGTATCAATGCAGGACGTCGCAACATTATAACCCGGTGTTAGAGCATATGCAGTGCTCGCAGCTCGGATGTGTGACAAGTCCGCCCCGGCACCGGGGTATTGGATTTGTAAGGAGGATTGTAGCTCGAAAAATGATATCGTAAGCTACCTAAATACGTGATGGGATGGGAAATAAGCTATGAATTTTTGTCTGTTTCCTATTACGGAATATTCTAGAGGCTAGTCGAATTATCGGATCCTTCTTTCAACTACTCTGCTGCCTACTTCGCTGCTTCGCTGCTTTACTACTACGCTGGAGTTTCGCAATCCGTGTCCATCGGGCGCTGCGTCCGTTCGGACGCGGATTGCGACACATATTCAACATGTGCCATGTTGTGATGTTGTACAGACATTAGAGCAGCTCGTCGACTTCTGATTGGATAACGACAAGATTTTTGACTAAATTGAGTAATTGGCGGGGCCGATAAATACGTGGGTACTTACTGCGCATACGGAATGTGGAGAAGGGAAACAACGCCGATGGGTGGGCTACTACGCCCGAACAGTACGTCTTGCTTATCGCCGATGACTATTTCGGGAACTTATCTTCGAAAAACTGACAACTTTTTGTAATTGGAGACTTCCGTATTATAGGTGTTATATAACGCTGACAGCTTACCAGTCACAGACATTACAGCAGAGCCGCCGTATTAACAAATCAAAGCTACCGAGATTACGCGATCAGCAGCCACAACTCTCCAACCCAGCCTATGCCTAAGACAAGATACCATGGTATAAGGCATCTTCTATACCTCATTACGTACCTATGCCGACGAGTCTCCCAGCTACGCGTATTTATGTAAAAAGCCCCCCGCAGAAACAGGACAAAGCCCGGTAGATCAGAACATCCGATGTGGGGTCCCCGGTCTAGCGGTGGTTATGTCTCCGGCTTCGCGATATAGAAGAGAGTTATTGGTCAACCCGGGATTTTGGAAGCCCGTAATATTTCATCGACTGGACGCCACAATCCGGACACAAAGTTAAATACCGGCTCAACAACGAGCCGAATGATACTCTAGTCTCTAGTTCGGTGTGCGAGTTAAAGCCAACAGGCGGGACGGAGGAAGTCTTTAAGCCGCCCGGTCATCTCTCTTGCCCCCAAAATGGACGCGTAGTCCCTCTATCACAATCGATAGTTCTTATTTTCAAGCATACCAAATCTATCTATGTATTGATTGTTGAAGTCTCATTTATCTTAATTTGCCTCAGTTGCAAGCCGATTCTGCTCTTAATCCAAGGTGGGTATTGCTATACCGTACGATAAGCTACAAATATGAACAGACTTCAACAATTATGTTTCCGAAAGACCACAATATGTCTCCGAAAGAACGAGAAGTCTTTTCGAGGGATTCTACTACGCCTAAACCCTGGGGATTAATAAGCGATTAATAAGAATGTGATGAGACGACTTTCATCAAGAACATTACCTATTGATGCTCGAACTCGGGACGGCCTAAGTATTTCAAAAACTCCCTAGCTAGGTAGCATTATAGTATGACAACTATGATCGTTATTGCCAGGTAAAACTAAGATATATCTTAGGCAGGTAAGTATGATCCAGACTTTGCATTTGTAATATACGCATATTTACTGGGTTAATGTTAGTTTTATCAACCTCTAAGAATCCCTAAGTACCTATACATTGCGATCTAAGTTTTTATTTGCTCGGATCTATTACGAGACAGACTAGGAAGTATGAAGAAGCTTCGCTGTTCTGCGATAGACTCTAGCCCTGAACTATGGAGGGCAGTGACTGCATATTTGTTTTAAGATGCCTTTATAATCTTAACAAGATCTCAATAAAGTCCTTAGGCCTAAACCAGAGGAAGCTATATGTCAGAGTATTAAAGAGTGTATTGAGCAAGGTGTCTAAGACTATGAAGGTGGAAGTCACGTGCAATTCATCTTTATACCGTACCTAGGTAGGTACCCATAAGTCCCCTGATTGCTGGTAGCTTCTATGCTGTGCACCTCTATGATGATGATGATGGTGGGATGGTGGGGCTTTGGGCTTATCAAAGGACAGGTAGCTGATTTAAGCATATTAACCCCACTATGCCCCTCTTTCATTTATCCCGTACCTAGAAACTGCCTATGCACAGACCACCAGAAAGCTTTGTTAGTGGTTGTGGTTGCCTCGTCGGCCAAACACTTGCAAGGCAACAGTAAAATGTCAATAAAATAAAATAAAAATAGTAATTGGCTTAACGCTAAATACTAAAAGATGCACTACGTACAAAGCGCAACCTAACATTGTCTAAATCTCCCGCCAACAACTTTTCCTAACCGTAAACGCACGCATACACCCATCAACTCTAGCATTCCAACTCTTTCGGCCACGACGAGCAGCAGCCATCATGGCTTCGGACCTGGGCCATATCGCCCAGCTGTTGGATGCGACTCTCGACCCTGTGAAGCATAAGAGAGGTACGTAAGAGAGCTCTTCTGCCCCGCCCCATGGTGTCGCATATAAGTTGTCGCTATTCCCACTCTGCGACCACGGCTACTATAGCTTATAGCTGGCCTTCAAACTGACATTTAAATTGTTAATAGCCGAGAACGAGCTCAAGGTTGAAGAAAAGAAGCCTCAGTTTTCGCTACAGCTGCTCAAGATAGTAGCGACCGAGAGTCTTCAACCCAAGACCCGCCTCGCCGGAGCACTTTGCTTCAAGAACTACATCCGACACAACTATGTGGTATGTTGTTATAAGCGGTACAATCCAACACCACGACACGTCTAATGCTAATACCTACGCCGTCCAGGATGAAGAAGGCAACTACAAGCTTCCCATCGAGGAGGTTAACACGATAAAGCAGGAGCTTATTGGGCTTATGATTGCGTGTCCCTCCACCATCCAAACGCAGTTGGGTGAGGCTATCAGTATAATTGCCGATTCTGATTTCTGGAGCCGATGGGATACTCTTGTTGCCAATCTCGTATCACGTTTTTCGCCTGATAACTTCAAGGTCAACAATGGCGTGCTGGAAGTTGCACACTCTATCTTCGTTAGGTGGCGGCCGCTATACCGCTCTGATGATCTGTACACAGAGATCAACCACGTTCTGAACACATTTGCTGTGCCATTCCTAAATCTTCTGAGTGTAAGTGCGCTTCCCCGCCAGTCGCTACTTTCAGCTAATACTAGGACAGGCTACAGACCAACAGATCACTGCTCACGCCAACGACAAGGAGGCTCTGAAGGGTTACTTCGATACGTTGAGTCTACTCGTTAAAGTATTTTACGATCTATCCTGCCAGGATATGCCACCCCAGTTCGAATCGACTTTGGAGCACCTATCGACCCTACTTCACAAGTACTTGACCTACGAAAACCCACTGCTAGCGACAGACGACGATTCAGAAGCTGGCGTAGTTGAAATAGTCAAGGCCGACATCTGCGAAGTTTTGCAGCTATACGTCACGAAATTTGACGACGATTTCGGTCGATACGCGCAGGTTTTTATTAATAGCGCGTGGAACTTACTCTCTGCGATTGGACCCGAGACCAAGTACGATAATCTTGTCAGCAAAGCGCTACATTTCCTGACGGCAATTGCTGCAAACCCACGGCACTCCCTAGCTTTCAACGACGAATCAGTTTTGGGACAAGTTGTAGAAAAGGTGGTGCTGCCCAATGTTGCACTGAGAGAGTCCGATATTGAACTGTTTGAGGATGAACCTATTGAGTTTATCCGTCGCGACCTTGAGGGATCAGACACAGATTCACGGCGAAGAGCAGCTACCGACTTCCTAAGACAGCTTCAAGGAAATTTCGAGAAATTGGTCACTGATGTCGCAGGAAGATATATTAGCCACTATCTGGAGCAAGGCAGGACGAACTGGAAGGACAAGGATACGGCTATCTCACTGTTCTTATCGATCGCAGCTAAAGGAGCGGTAACTGCAGCACATGGCGTCAGGACGATCAATTCGCTCGTCAATGTAGTCGACTTCTTCCAGCAGCACATTGCCAATGACCTTATTTCAGATGCGGGTGTCGAGCCAATTTCTAAGGTCGACGCAATCAAATACCTCTACACCTTCCGAAGCCAACTGACCAAAGAGCAATGGCAGGCTGCGTTCCAGCCCCTAATCCAGAATATGGCCTCGTCGAACTACGTCGTTTACACATACGCAGCTATCTGTGTCGAGAGGCTTCTATACTTAACAGATGATTCTGGTGTTCGCTTTTTCGGCAGAGCTGATATCGAGCCATTCGCGAAGGGTCTGCTCGACCATCTCTTCAAGCTTGTAGAAAAGGAGAACTCACCGGCAAAGATGCAGGAAAACGAGTTCCTCATGCGTTGTATCATGCGGGTACTAATCGTCATGAACACTGGCATCGCAAATTTTGTTGCTATGGTCTTAGACCATCTGATTGGGATCACGAATACCATCAAGGCGAACCCGAGCAACCCACGCTTTTACTATTATCATTTCGAAGCCCTAGGTGCAGTTATAAGGTAAGCTTCGCCCCTAGGTTCCTCCCCTATAGGCTTCAACTAAACAAAGTAGCTTCGGCTCGGCTGGTGGGACGTCAAAACTAGAGGAGCTGCTATGGGCACCTTTCAACGCAATAGTGACGGAGGATGTGAACGGTACGTGCGAACGTTCTTCGTGTTAAAATGCTCGATACTGACAGATTACATTTCAGAGTTCATGCCATATGTGTTTCAACTCTGGGCCAAGCTACTGGAATTCGAACCAACTGGCGCACTTCCCAACCAATACCAAGCGTTGGTGCAACCTTTGATGATGCCAACGCTCTGGGAAACGAGAGGAAACGTCCCAGCTCTCACGAGATTATTAGCTGCTATAATACCTAGAGCATCCCGCACTATAGTAGCAGAAAACTACATTCAGCCGGTTCTAGGTATCTTCCAGACTCTCCTTGCTGGCAAGAAGACAGAACAGAATGCATTCGATTTGCTAGAGGCAATTACTATATCGATCGAGAGGTACGTTTTGTTCAATAGAATCGGTATTACGCCGCTAACCCTATCCTTAGAAGTGCTTTGGAGCCTTACTTTAAAGAAATCCTGTCTCTTCTTTTCACAAAGCTCCAAAAGGCCCCATCTGATTCGTTCAAGCTTCGATTCGTACGATTCTATCACCTAGTGTCAGCCAGAGTGGAGGCAGGCTTAGGCACAGATTTCTTCGTCAGCCAAGTAGACCTGATTCAGAACAATCTATTCACTCAGATCTACCTTAGTATCATTCTCCCAAGCTCGGAGCTGCTTGTGCGCCCGATCGACCGCAAACTCGCCGTTATATCATTCGCCAAGTCGATGGGAGATAGCGCTGCTTTTGCCCAACGTTACCTCAAGGGGTGGCGATTCACATGCGAAGCGATGCTGAAGTTGCTACTAAATCCACCCAAGGTAACAGGAGGCGTTGGAGATGATGTAGTCAATGAGGCGGATGTAGACGACATTGGCTTCGGCCTAGGTTTCACCGCTCTCAATACATGCAAAAAATCTACTCGGGATGATTATCCCGAGATCCAGGACATCACGGTTTGGGTGCGGCAATACCTTACTGAGGCCAATGTTCGACACAATGGCGCGATCGCCCAATATTTGCAGGTGAGGCTTACGGAGGAGGGAAGACAAGCAATGGCAATCTACGTAAGCTAGATCCGGCGGCTGGGATTAAGTAGAGTAAAAGTACATGGCATAATGAACGGATGGCCATGTGAGAAATGAGCGTCTCAGGGTCATTTGAAAAAAGGATTTGTAAGGTTGTTCTCAAAGGATCTTGGTCTTTGGCGTATCACAGGCATACACCCCGCCGCCATAATTGGTGGCCTACATACTTGAGGTAGATAAGACAAAAGATTCAGTTCCGGGGTACGCCTATCTCGGCCCGGGGCAAAATAAATGACAAAAATAGTAGATAGTCATATGGCCATTTGCTGCAATGCGGTGATATCATTCCAAGGTGTCACTTTGAGGAGAATTTGTTTGCATTGTTTTGATGTTTTGATATTTTGATATTTTGATATTTATTAAAATGAAATACTAATTGAATAAGTAGTGGGGATTATTATTGTGCAGAAGCTGGAAGGTGAAAAGATTAGTCAACTCAGCTTTGCATCATCTGAGCCACAGCTAGAGATACGCAGGGATATGGATTGGTTAAAACGGAGAAAGAGATGGCGCGGAAGCTGCAGGAGAACTAAAAGGGTTATATTGTGGAGAAATCTTTTGTAAAGAACGACGTTCAAAGTTCCCCAAGATCCCCCCCTCCTCCCCCCAAAGGCCCCCCAATCTTCACTACCAGACTACCAAACTACAAATTACCAACCTACCAACCTACCAAGATCTTCTCTTATGTAGCCCATTAGGTAGTACCATATGTAGCCACCATATACATAGCCCATGTAGCCTGTTTGTTCAATCCGACAACTGCATAACGACTGCATCTCCCTCCGAAGCCGACATCGAAAAAGCTTCCCGCCTGTATCTCCCCAATGTACTACCACGTTCCATCGTCCAAACGAACACAAACTAGAGCCCACCGAAATCGTTTATTTCTACCGCCGCCGCCGACACCACCGCCCTCTTTGCGACTTATTCGGTAGTGGCCAGGAAGAAAGAGGGTGTAGAGGAATTAAGCCTGTAATATTACGAGCTACCAAGCTACCAAACTACCAAGCTATCTGGCTACCAGGCTACCAGGTTACCAGGCTGGGCCACTTTCTAAACAAGAACGAGTCACGCGTTTGTGTTCGGTCGGAATCCCGCACTTGAGAGACGCTTGAAATTTATATTGGCTCTTCGTATCACCTTTTGATTTTCTTCTCCCCTTCCCACCCTTATGCAAGACCCGATTTGCTCGTAAGTCCACATGTTTTGATTGCCCACTTACCGCGTACCTACTATGCCGTCTTCCGTAATCGCTCCTGGAATCTTGTCCCGTGCTACTGAAAACGGGTACTGTTTGTTTTCGACTACATTCAATCATGAAGCTATGCTCTCACAGCTAATATGTTTCGTCGTATAGCTTTTCTGGGCCGGAAGGCCGGTGAAGAACGGCAGACTGAAGATATGTCGCCATCACCTGGAGATGATGGCTCCTCACCTCGAGATACCAAAGGCAGTAGCGGGCTCGCCAGCGTCTTCAAAGGTCTCGCCGGTGCTGCTAAGTTGACCAAATCTCCCCCGGCTCCCGTACAATCATCTGGTCCCTCTATCAGCGTACAACTTGCCGAACGTCTCAGCGCTACACCAAACATCCTCCGCGGCATTCCATCCCAGCATGCTGAATCGTTTGAGCTGTTGAAGAACGGATCGATGACCCAGCGAGTCGCAGCAGCTGATGCATTGCGCCATACCGTTGCAGGTTACCCCCTCAGTCCAGTATTAGATATTTGGTACGCAGCTAAAGATCTGGTTGATCCTACCAATCCTAAGACGGTTCGATCTTCCGGATGGGAACTTCTGAGGGAATGTGTTAAACATACCTCTTCAACCGACTTGGAGCGCAACGAGTACTTCCAGACTATATCCGCCGAAGCCAATCCGGAAGATTTCCATTTACAACTTGCTGCTCTTGTCGATTTAACGAACCATGCCCGAAATCTGTCCGGTTTTGATTACGACGTGTTCCCATTATTGTCCAGGTGGCTCGAGGAAGCATTCGAGGCAGTACGGGCGGCAAGAGGCGCCGCGAAGAAACAAGGGTCGCGGATGAAGGGGAAGGCGTTAGCGACCGGTGAAGATAGAAACTTTACGGACTTGTTCAGTTTCATTACCGACGTAATCAAATTCAATTTCAATGTCGCTGATGACGATGCGGCCGAAGTTTTGATCGAAAAGCTACTGGATATCTGCATGAACACTAGTGTTGAAGAGGATCTACAGGCGTGTATTGGCGTTATGGATGCTATTGTGACATTTGGAGCAATTCCCGCGGACAAATTAAAGAGCTGCGTCCATATTCTCTGCTCTATACATTGTCTGGTCCCCAACCTACAGAAAGATGCGTGGCATACTATGAGCATGCTATGTCGGTCGCACAATGGACATACTACTGTAAGGCTACTTCTTGATGTTTTGGCCTGTCTTCCAGAAAATGCGGATAAGAAAAAGGAGGTCGTTCGTGAGGTCAGGGGCGCACTATCAGTGCTCACTAAGCTTGTGTCGAAGAGTTCCGAGAAAGGATATCCAGCAGTTCCATATGCTCTTTTGGTCGATGGCCTGTCCACAGTGGTCCATGCTACGTCTGCTTGGAAAATACATCTCGATATTTTACGACTAACGAATTCGTTATTCTGCGACAGCCAGGGTAATATTAACAATATGCTGGCTGATGAAGATTGGACACCTGTTTTTGATGTCGCGGTCATATGTGCCGGGGTTGTTGTCGAGTCCCTTACTAAACCTGAGAATCCTATCGAAGCACTCCTGGCCCCAGAAGAGAGTGATTCCGCTGAGAGCATGCTGGCCCGAGAATTGATGAAGCTGATACGTCGCCTCGAGGGCATACTATTGGATGAATCCCCTGCTATTACCCAAAAGCATGAGGGTGCGTCTTTAGATCAAGGAGATGGCGACAGTCAGAAACTAGAGGTTATACAACCAGAGCAACCTAATACCCTTATCCAAAGACAGGATTGTATTCTCTTCTTTACTAAAATCCACCGCGCTCTCCCCGACTCTGGGGCAATCTTGGTACTTGAATATTTCAAGAAGTTCCGATGTTGTTCGCCCTCAGATCCTCTTTGGGAGACCAATTTGAGCCTAGTGTTGGATGCGTTTTTAGCAGATAGAAAACGATCAACTGACGTTCGTCTGCGCGCCCTGCAGGCCTTTACAGAGGTTTACGACATGATTGAGCTCATTAATGATCAGTTCGAGCCAGACTTCATTCCAGAATTAGTGAGGCGCTTATTAGCGGATGTGGCGGGAGAGGCCGATATTATATTACTACAAGAGATCGTATCGTTTGCCGTTGGCGTTGCTAGTACGGCACCCTTCTCCCTTTTCTCTTACGTTGTCGACACGCTCCGAGGTATAGTCGGGAATAATCGACTACGTTCCATATCTTCTTCGCTTTCTCTTCCCCCGGAGCAGACATCAACTCCGCAACACATAAAGTCAGCTGTGAATCAAACCCCATCTAACGTAGTTGTACGGGGCTATGTGAAAGTCTTCTTACGAGTTCTAAATTACGACGCGACCAAATCAGTGCGGCTGTTCCGTGTTCTCGTGTCAATAGCCGAGTTAAACTCCAGCGAAACAGATGCCCGTATCACTGCGATGCAACTACTATTCCGCTTAAGAGCCGATTGGGCTAATCGTATATTTGTCACTGCTCATACCGAGACGAACAGTCTCGCCACGTCCTTATACCGAACAGAGGAGTCAATGACGCGTAAAATCGCCGAGGAAGCTTCATATACCGGGAGAAACTCGCGAAGTGAAGCTGCTGGGTCTGCTCGCTCATCACGCGGTATATCCCTTGGGCAAGGTCAGATGCAAGATCGGGGTTATCCGTTAAGGTCAGGAAGTGGTAGTAAAATGGCTACGAGTGCGTATCAACCGCTGTGGATCGCCTCTGATACGGATGCCTTGCCAGAAGCTCCATCTCAAGCTGCAAGCATGGTACTTTATTGCAGCACTTCTGATAATGCTGCTGAAGTAGATGGCTTGTCACAGGTAAAGGTTTTGGAGACCAGGATATGGCTTGAGGTGATACTGAACTTGGTGCGGCAAAGCTGTGATTGGGAAGTTTACAGCTTCATCCTTGTCCACCTACCCTCGCAGCTGAGCAACCATGCTATTTTTCAGAATGCCACAGTAGAACTCCAGGAATTGAGACGGGTAATTTGTGAGCAGATCAAAATGAATAATTTCCAGGAACCTCCAAGTGTTTTCGGATTGCGCCGAGCAGATGTTGCCATCTGCCTTTTCCATACTTTGACTATGATCCTCAGTTATCACAAATACTTTCAGAAGGCAGAAGAAGACGAGATTGTTCGCACGTTCGTGCATGGTATAGCAACGTGGGAACGAAGCGCGAAATGCTGTATACACGCGCTTACTATATGCTGTCACGAGCTCCCTTCCTCGACGGGCAAGGCTCTAGTCACGATCCTTCAGAAGATGGCGCAGATCATCACTCAACCGCATGTCGCCATGCACATTCTGGAGTTTCTAGCTTGTCTCAGTAGGTTGCCCTCCTTATACGCCAATTTTCGGGAAGACGAGTACCGTATTGTCTTTGGAATTTGTTTCCGATACCTACAGTACGTAAGAGGGAGGAAGCAGGCATATAGAACCAGTTCAATCAGCGATTCATCGGCAGCTGCCGCAAGTGAGGGTCAATTCAACCCAAATACTTCAGATGATTTACCCCAGTATGTCTATACTCTAGCATATCACGTCATCGTATTCTGGTTCCTGGCTCTGAAGCTTCCGGACCGTACAAACCACGTTGGATGGATTGCAAGAAACTTATTTGTAGATGTCGATGGGCCCCAAGCATCGGACGAGCAAGCACATCTTACGATGGACTTCATCCAGAGGGTCACGTATGCTGATGTCGATGAATCCGCGGCGGACCCTTTGTTCACTTCGGATAGATTCGGAGAAATACTTAAGAAGAGATGGTTGATTGGAAATAGCATCGTTACGATTGAACAGGCTACGGCTACGGGTTGGGCACAAATCACCAAACGTCAGCCATCTGGAACATCATCGTATACGATACGCGAGCTCTTCCGACCACCTCCGGCACATCAGCGTCCTATAAGTGAAAGCGTGAGAGATAGCCATACAGGGATTATAAACATTTTACCCAACCATCTGCTAGTACAGCTTCTATCCTCCATGCCGCAAGGAAACGATCTTTCACGCCCTGTTCCACTACCTGATGATGACGTAGTTAACAGAGCTATAAGGATGTTCGACCACAACTCGACGGTAGATGGTCACAAGGTCGGCGTAATATATATCGGAGAGAACCAAACACACGAGACAGAAATTCTGTCTAATATTTCTGGCAGCGGGGATTACGTAGAATTCCTCAACGGCCTCGGCACTTTGACCAAACTCAATGGTGCAACATTCAATACGCAAGGCCTAGACAGGCAGTATGACACGGATGGGCAGTATACGTTCTGCTGGAGAGATAGGGTGACGGAGATTGTGTTCCACGTCACCACGCAGATGCCCACAAATCTAGATCACGATCCTCAGTGTACCCTAAAGAAGCGCCATATCGGGAACGACTTCGTGAACATCATTTTCAACGATTCTGGGTTGCCCTTCAAGTTCGACACGTTCCCATCGGAATTTAATTTCGTCAACATCGTCATCACACCCGAATCTCGCGCCTCGTTCGTTGCTACTAGGCAGAGAACGCCGAAGGACGTCGCAGAATCGTACTACAAAGTCCGCCTGATGAGCAAGCCTGGGTTCCCCGAGATCTCACCTGCTTCCGAGACCAAGATCGTCAGCTTGAGAGCCCTACCCGACTTCATCCGGCTCCTAGCGCTGAACGCGTCAGTCTTCTCGCTGGTGTGGGCCCACCGCGAGGGTGGTGAGCACGTCTCTGCGTGGCGCAACCGGCTGAGGGAGATCAAGAGGCTCCGCGATAAGTACGGACCGAAGGCGTCGGCGGTACCCCATCAGGGCCATGGGGGTCCGTCGCCCTCGCCACCGGGAACTGCCCTGGGCCACGGCCACGGTAACACGACTTCGCTCGGCAGCGCCACCACTGCCCAATTAGAGGCCGCGAGATCAGGTAGCACGGTTCGCGACAGCTTCAGCAGCCTTCGCCGATCGTCTGTAGCCACCTTCTTCTCCGCCTCGAGCGAGCAGAACTCTCACCGCTCCTCGATGCTGTCGACTGCTACGACGGATAACACAGAGGTTATGACGACCAACGGGGTGGACGCCCTAGTTGACAGCGTTGACTTCTCTAAATGGTCGGCGTAGATGCTGCTTCTGCTGCGTTGTGCTGTGCCACCACCTAGTTTTTTTTTGGTTTTCTTTTAACCTCGAAGTGGCCTTTTCGTAACGAAGGAATGAAAGGATTAGTTACGCAAATCTATGATTTTGTGTACGACAAAAAAGCAGGGGGGTTTTCATACGGTTTCAGGGAAGTGTCTTCTCTCTCCGAGATGACAACAACAAAAAAGCACGGCGTCTAGGCTAATGGGGGGAAATACCACTGATGTTTATATTGCCTCTTTTCTTCCTTCCTTCTTTCTGTTTCTACTTGTTTATCTACCTAACCCAAGGTATCCTGTTGGAGCGGTTTCGAAGAAAAAAAAAGGTTTCTCTTCCATCTGGACATATTACTGCCGAGAATGAATGCTTTATTGTACATGGCTACTACCTCTTACTCATGTTTACGAAGTCCTGTCAACCCGTTAGTAGGTACTACTATTATCTAGACGTACGAGATTCCGATAGTGACGTTTTTGGTACTGACTTTACGATGACGATACTTGCGTAACGGAAGGATAGGACGGGGATTGGAAGGGGGAGGGTAGGGGCAGGGGCTAATGGGGGAGGGAAATCAAAAAGTCTACTCATTTCGTGATATGATACTATAAAGAGAAGTTAGGCACGCCGCCACAACAATCCAGTCATAATTGTTATAAAAAAAAAGTTCGTTTCTTGTGACTCGTCTTCCTTTCTCCCACGTTGGTCTGATCTCCTCGCATGGCAACGGGTATTACTTACTATGTAGTCGCAATGTAACGGGGAAAATAAGCGCAGGTCGCACAGAATGCCAGTCTGAGTAACTCGCTCTCTTTTTTTTTCCTTTCTTTTTCCCCCGTCCTTCCTCGGCCGCCCGATTATGGGGGGCATGGGATAGGATAGAATCCCTACCTAGGATGAGATGGGTATGGTATGGGGTTGGTTACACAAAAAGGCATGGGCGAGGAGGGTAAGGGAAAGGACACACATGGCACGAGGTTACGACAGGTAGGTGCGTGATGGCTGGCTTACACACTGCAGCAGCAGCAACAGCAACAGCAACAGCACAGCACAGCACAGCGCACATCAGTCTTCTAGGTAGGTAGGTAAGGTAGGTATTAGTCGCTGTGGTGGTACTATAGGTAGGTATGTGTAGGTAAGTACACGGGACAGGGGTTAGTCAGGCTTAGGTGAGAGCCGCAGAAGCCGGTTGGGATTTTTACATTAGGTAGTTAACCTAATAGTATACCTTAGTACCTACCAATATACATACCTAAGGTAGGTAGGTAGGTGTGTTTCTCGGCGGGCTATACCGCATGCGTGCGTTAGTCTTTATGATCTACCGCCAGGGGGGAGGAGGGTAGGGGGGTTGGCAGGATAGCCATATGGAACCTACCTGTAATGATATGCGCAAGGTTTCGAGCCCGGAATGCTGCCTCTTTAGTTCGTCGGCAGCTTAGCTCTACTACGCTACGTCGTTGTAATGCAGCTATGCAAGCCTCATGTATTGCGTAGGGCATAGTCGTGCCAGGTCCTAGGTTCAATGCTACCTAGATATGTTAAGTAGTTAGAAGGTATGTAGGTAGGTAGACAAGTAAGTCCGTGTATGCAACGGAACACAGGAATACGCTTAACCTGTAACTTAGCTTAGTTCCTAGGCACTAGGCACTAGGCACTAGGCAATAGGCAATAGGCAATAGGCAATAAAAGGAATTATTTAAGCTTGTATGATGGTTACGAGCGGATACAGAATAAGTTTGACGTAGTACATGTGGCAGTGAAATGGACAAGCGGTAGGGGTATCCCAAACAGGCATTTAGATGTTGTGTGTGTATTGTGTTACCAGGCCCTTTTACTATGACATTTCTCTATGCTGACGCTCTCATGCGCCTTCGGGAATTTCTGTAAAGAGTTACCGAAACTGCCTGCACGCTCCGGGTTAAACAGACGGGGGGAGGGAGGGGGTATTTCCCGCGGGTAAGGTAATAAATAGGTAGGTAGGTAGGTAGGTTAGGAGGTAGATAGCAAAGTAGGTATTTAGATTCCAATATAGGCGTGTAGGAGGGTAGGACGGGCACACAGACGGGCACACGATGACAATTATGGAAGCCAGTAAGATGTGAGACGGGTACGAACCAACGACACGCAAGGAAAGGAGAAGAAGAAAAGGGGTCTTGGTATGGTTGCACAAGGCAGACTTACATGACAGTACCTACCTAAGAATATGTGTGTATATACCTACGACAGAGGTAGGTAATCAATAACGAGGGGGAAGGGTGAAAAGAGTGTAAATACCTAGACCGGTGTGATGGCGGCAACTAGCCAATCGACCACATGGCTTCGTTTCGTTCCATCCTATGCGCGAGTGGCCTGATGCAGTACACCGGCACTGCGCGCGTTACATAGTTACAGAGTCATTGAATTATAAAGTTGGGCTTCTTCTTTGGTTTCCGCCCCCCTCGGAATATTTATTGCCTGATTGGAATAGGGCTAAAAGATCCAAGTATATAATGTAATAATACCAAGAACCTTACCCACGGCGGTCAGCATCTTTCCAATAAGGAAAGGTTGGATCCTTTAAGGCTGTTTGACGTAAGGCCTAGCTTACTATGCGTCTCTCGGCCCGCAACCGCCTTGGAGACGAATGCAAGAAGAAGAAAAAAATATCTGAGGACGGGGGGGAGGGAGTGGGAATTGTCCAACCATACATTGCATCAAGCATTGACGTAGGACAATGATATGGCCTTTGGATGATTTGATTGGAGTTGAGTGAGCTAGGTAGGCATGTGGACGCGAAACTCCTACAAGTGCATTTTTTACCAATAGGGATAGCCCTACCAGAAAACCGTCTGTGGAGAGATTTTGTTACCCTGGTTCGTACTGTAGGTACCAGCATTATGCGGCGGAAATATATATATTCGAAGCGCTCGCTAGGCCCGGGTTGCATAACGACGACACGTCGCGTGTAGGTTTCCCCCGTACTAGAGCAAATCGGTAAGATAAAAAGGTAAATGTCCCGGAGCCGGCCTATATGTTGATTAGGTATATGTTGATCAACTTGGTTAAATTTAGATCCGAGCCGAGCCGTCGAGTCTCCCATGCTATCATATTTCCATGTTGCCATGGTTGTACGTATCATGGTGATTAAACACGTATGGGTTATGGGTGATACTCGTGTAGCAGCTAAGATGCCATTATCGAATAATAGCCTTTTAGGCCTCTTCGTAGTCTTGTCAAACTCACATTTCGAATCAGATTTGATCTGGCCGGTTGTTATAAAAGTCTCTAGGTAAGGTAAGCAAGGGAGAAGACTATGTCACCTACCCGCGAGATCCAACGCATGGTAAAACAGTTGCTGTTTGTGGCTAGCCCATGCTCAGACTATGAATATGAACCGTGGAACGAGACATACATATCTCCCGTGGCGGCTCGGCTACCAAGTCCGCGTAGCTGGAATTGGTAACGATCGGAACCATATTTATACCGTGTGCTGACAACGTTTAGCTCATGTGCGTATGTAGAAAAGCCGAAATACGACTTACTTCTTGTTTGAGCCTTGGCACCTTCAACTTCGCGGGATTAAGAGTTTACAAAACTTAAGTGCTCAAGCAGTGCTCAAGCAGTAAGATTTGCTGCGCTTATATTCCCTGTGTCAGATAGGTCAGATGGGTGAATCCGTCCTCGCGGAGTCTTTACTTGCAAGTACTTACATACAGGCCTGAGGTTGCATATATCTAGCCAATGCATTGCAACTCGCAGCTTTCGTGCGACACATACTGGTTTGCCATTGGAGCGGCACAAAGATGCAATAAACATTGCACCTTTCTATACAGTAATGGTACTTTTATCTGAGCTGGTCTGCGTTGTGACACTTCTCTGGGCTCACTATGGTACGTTGATCTGAACCTCTCCGTATGTCAATTTGCCCACCAATACTGCCCAGTAACTTGGCTACGCTCGGGGTAACACAAAAATTTAGAGACTACCTATCCGATCTCGTAGGGTAGTACCATTGATCTACGTGTCCGTCTCGAGTACAATAGCATCAATCGAACGAAATGCGGCAGTCCCTTTCAAGTGTCAAATTTCGATCGTGAAGTGGATTGCTGAAGGGATTGAGGAAGAAAGCGATAGAAGTATACTCGGCTTATATGGACGCTTTGTACCATAAGGTCTTAGTTGTAAGAATTGTATCTTCTGAGTAAACTCTCGAATGCTATATGAGCATCTCAACGTGAGGGAGTAACGTGAAGAATCTTTATGACCTGCGATTTGAGGTTCATCTTGCGTATGACCCCCGCATCTTGGCCCTCCTTCAGTCTTGTTTCACCTACTACAGAAGCAAGCAAGTGATAATCATTTTGAATCTCTAAGCCGCTGAGGTCGTCGTCGGACCAATTCTGCTTAGTTGGGCAGCGACCACGAAGGATTCCGCCCCCACAAACCCCCGCTTGCGTCAAGGTGTCATCAAGGATTCCAACACTACGAAGTAGTACGGGATATGCCTTAGATTCGTTCATCGAACCTTGGTGGGCTGAATGTTATAGCCTGCCTTGCTATTCGGATAGGCTGAAGGGGCCATTGAAGCGCCCTATTTACACTACACACTGATGCGGATTGCCGGACTATTCTGCTTTTAATATTTTAATTCTGAATTGGAGAGGTTAAATCCGAATACGCTGGCTCGGAAGTAAATTGATATTAGCGAATCTTGGCCCGGAGCCGAGCCTCTTAAACCACTAGGTTAGGTCATTCTCTCATGACTCCAGTTGTTACTCAACGTCAGCTAAGCCAATAAGCAGTACTGCCAGAGAGTGCCATCCACCATGAATTGGATTTCTTACGCAATTTCCGTCGTAGAAGTCCCTCATCGACTGTTAGAACCAGTGAGTTGCTCAACACCGTGAAATCTTGGTCGAGATCTCATGTGCGCTGAGAACGAATCACCACTTTGGTACCTATCGTCATCGTGCTTATCCAAATGAACAGAAGAGCCTTTGGCGTAATTCTTGATAGCTGATTCAATGTCAACTTCGTATGACCTATTGAAGATTCCAACCCCATATCGGTTCCTACACCATGTCTCATAAGAATAGCAGAGCCCCTGTAATGCCGAATGTTGTACAGCCCACTTAGAACACCGTACAAATTGCTTCGGTATCCTTAGTTGAAAATTTCGACCCATAGTACTCCACGACAAGGGAACTCTCCTTGCGTTCATTTCGCTTTGATTTCGTGACCATGCCCATGAGCAGACGAGGGTCGCTCTACTTAAGGGCGTATTGGAGTGGCTTTACAGAGTTGCTAAGCTGGAGCACAAGTAAAAAGTCCGCAGACGACGTGACGTGCCATGAAATGTTAGCACACGCATCGTGGAAGTTCCCTAACGTTTCAATCAGTATTCAAGGTCAGCCGTCAAGGCTATATTTATGTCGATTTCCATAGATCTTTATATATAGCCCACTTCTGGAACCCTATAAAATATAACGTTAAGATTGGGAATACTCATGGTTGGATGACAGAACTTACCCATCGATTGAAACCCCTCATAACCACCTTTCACAGCATCGAGAAACACGCGTTTCA